TTTTTTCATTTCCCTATGAGAAGATGTGGGGCTGTTGCAGTAGAAAGGGCCAAAACTCAGAAATATATAATTTTGAGAAAATCGTGTTTGTTTTGTTTGGCCTGATCCAGGTCAATCAAAAATTCAGAGATTTGATTGGTTAGCTATATCGGATAATCTCATGATGTACGAATCTTCTAAAAAGTTTTTTATATTTTTTATTAAGCAAATCAATTTCCCTTCATAATCAAAAAATGTAGCCCATCTCGAAATTTATTCGAATTTTACAAAAACTCAATTTTGATTTTTGGAGGAGTTTGGGCCCTTTCTACTGCAACGGCCCCATGTTATCAATTTGGTGGTATCCTATTGTAAAACGGTGGTCTGATAGTACTTTCTGAGATAGATATAGTTTCTATTTTAAAACTTATCGTATTATATTCATATAGATATTTCTGTTTAGTATAGCCAATCGCTTGTAAGTGCTCTTGAAGTAGGCTATCAAACTATAAATTACATAGTATTGCAAAGTAATTTGTATGTTCTTATTCTAACTAATCGACAACTAGTAATAAAGAAGATTGGCAAGATGGCCAAAGTGAGAAAAAAAAAAAACTATTAAACTTATACTAGATTATAAAAATTATATAGTACTACTAAATAATTTAGTTAAGCTTTACACTAGTTATTTATGTCTATATCTAAGATATTAAAAAATAAGAAAAACTATTCATTTTTGGATAAAGATTCAAGTTCAAATTTTCTATTCTATTTCATTTTATTTTCTTTAAAACTTCTACAATATAACTCAACTGTAATTTCTTACAAGTATATTTTTTATCTCAAAGTAAACATGTACAAATATATACTGTATATTTCTTTTTTGAAGAATATCTAAAGCAAAGCAGATTTTTATATATATTTTATTAAATTAACTTTAGAGTTAGATTTATCTTATATTGGGGTTTGGTTAGGTTTTAGATAGTTATATATAAGCAAAATTGCCTTCCCAACATTTTTAATTAACTTACCTGAGATAGATTTATATTGCTATTTTTTGCATTTTTTAGGTTTTTCATTTTTTTCTTGTTTTGCTTTGCCAGTGATCATCAAAATTCTATAATTTGATTAGTCAGATATCATATAATTTTGCTTTGCTTTAGACGACCCCTTTTTTTAGTAATGTTATTGGTATTGATTTTTTGATATGATATACTGAATTTTCTATTTTTTGCTAAAATTTTGAAAAATATAACAAGTAAGGTGGTGAAGAGGAGTTTGGTTTGCAGGTAGCTATAAACTTCAATAGAAAGTGTATTAAAAACTTACTTGTTGTTCTTCTTTCTTTAGACCAACTATTTTCACTTTATCAATAGAAGCTTTGCTTTTATTAAAATTTTTTGTACAAGAGTATCACCTTCTTGCCAGTTATCTTGTATAAGAATACTTGTAACTTGCTTGTTAAATATACAAAAAAATCTAATAGAAAAACACAAATATCTTGATCTCTATAAAAACTGGTACTTATAGTTGTCTCTTCTATCTTCTCTAACAAGTTTCTGTTTTTATTAACTGTAAATTTAATTTGAGTGATTATTGAGAAAAGTTAATATATGATAAGTTTTTATTAATACAGAATTATAGAAAATTATATATTATAATTATTATTATTATACAAAAAACATTTTTATAGACAAAATTTTAAACTATAAGTGTTTTTTTTTTTGTTGTTTTAATTTTTTTATACTTCTTTATATTATATATAAACTTGAAATCTAATTGGCTAGCAAAATTAATTAGGGTGATAATTTAAAACAAACACCCAAAAAGTTTCAAGTAAGGAATACAAAAATCAGGTGATTTTTTAAAAGAAAGAAATGATAAAAAAAATTAAAATTATATATTAAAAAAGAGAAAGGATGACATTGCCCTAAAATTTCGTTGCCATTAGATTGTGTTACGTTACACCTAATCTTGAGATTTGATTGGTCATGAATCTTTACCCCCATTGTGATTTAGATTTCACCAAATCTGGCCTATACTATCAGGTTAATTTAGGCCGGGTATTTATATAAATTTGGTCTGGGCCATCCTCAATTAGCAATTGGGAGCATATATATACAAATTTAGTTTATGCTTTACATAAACGAACTATGTATTCGGAAGAGGATATAAATCATGAGGAATCTCCAAGTCTTGACACCCTGAAACAAAAGTTTGATCGTTAGTACTATTTTCCAGATTCTAGATAGTTTAATGAGGTAAATGTTGATACAACTCATAATATATATGTATTTTTTATTAGGACTATGCGAAACTTCAAAATTTCAAAATTTTGCTGCCGTGTCTGTTGTGACATTTATTGGATTTTCACAGAATGACACGACTTCAAAAATAAGTTCAATCGCTAATACCATTATTGAAAAGAATGTGTTTGGACAAGTAAGGAATCTTTTTAAACGTTTATGACTGCATGCATTATTCACGCGTTCTTGAGAAGTTACAAATGTAACAACTTACGATTTTAGCCGGTTTGTTGCATTAAAAACTGTAATTGTCGATTTAGCAAAGCAACTTTATTGGCAACAAATGGTAAAAATGTAAAGTTTCAATATTACACTTTTTTTTTTGTTCCTTTTTTAAGAGAATATATTATAACGCGTTTTCTGCATATTTAGCATTGTTTATGGATGTATTGCGATCTGTCAAAAAATACGATATATCTTTTAATGGATTCAGTAAATAACTCTGAAATGCTTTTGCAATTATCGCAAGAGGTTCAACCTAATATTGAAAATGAGGTGAACTTTGAATGATGATTTACTTGCGCTTAATACAGTAGTTAATAAAATTGAATGTTTTTTTTTTTTTTAAAAGCAAGAATTTCAAAGTTATATCTGGAAAGACGAGCATGTTTGCTTACGAATGTTAGTGTTCGCATTTATGTTGTCTCATGTGGTGGTGGTAAGTATTTGTTTTTTACATTTAAAAATTTTTTCTTTCCTTTTAAATTAAAAATTATATATATCATTACTTTATAAAGTTGGCTCAGCCAATATCCAAATTGGATTCCAACATGGTTTCCTTGCTTCGGACCATGTCTTCAGTCAAACGACATATTATGCCA